GTTGCTCCAGCGGTTGCTGGAAAAACAAGGCAGAAAAAGGGGCGAAGGATGACGGCCAGCCCCCCCCTTCCGCCAGGGCCCCCTTTGTGCTGCCGCAGCCGCCCTGCTCTCCTCCCTGGAGAAGGGGGCTGCTCACCTGCTGCCCAAGACGTGAAATGGTGGCATCTGCCAGTGCGCAGATGCCCACTCTTGAACGCCTTCAGGGTCCTAATGCCTGGTGGGCTCCCGTTTCCCTTTGGGGAAAAGCTGGGAGGCTGGAACGCGAACCGGCTGCTGGGCCCCCCCTGGAGGGACCCTGGAGGGCTCGGCAGAAGGGCCCTCGGGAGGAGCGATGGATTGTTAGCTAGTAAAATCTTGGATGACAAATAATTTTTTCCTCAGCAGGAATTGAAGGAATTAATATAGAAAAGCTTTTGAGCACCAATTTTGAGAAAGTTGTTAATGAGAACACCCTTCAAGCCATTTCTTTGTAACTGTCTTTTTCCCTCTCATTCTTGCAGATTGTCACTTGTAAATCCATGTTCAGTTCAGTCTTGTTAGGTAAAACTTGTTTCTCTTCCAGAACATCTTTTAGAAACGATCTCTGTGCAGGTGACACTATTAAAATTAACTCCCCAGTCCATTGTTGTTCAAAAAATGTCCTTCCAATATAAGGGGAATTTATGTGCTCTTCCCCTTTAATTGCAGTATTTACTTCCCTCTGGTTCCCTCTAGTGGCCATTTAAAAAAAATCTCATATTTTAAAATTCAAAACAAAAACATTTTCCCACAGGAAGGATTCTTTAGAACTTCTTTTATGTATGTATTTCTGTATATGCCGCTCATCTCATCTAGAGGTAACTCTGGGAGGCCTACCAGCATTAAAAGTGGTAGACATTAAAATGATAAAAGAACAAATAACAACCATAAACCAAGTGCGGTTAAAAGATGTGGAGGAGGGGAAGCACATGGAGAGGGGGAGGTGCTTTTCTTAATCCAATAGCTGCCTCCAGAAGGGCTCACCCCCCCCCCCCCTTGGGCCCCAGGCCAACTGGCAGAAGCAGGTCCTCGGGCCCTCACGGAAGGTCAGCTGGGTGGGTGCAGATCTCCCCTTTGGACCATTGTATGCCTGGGAGGAGAGCTACACCCACCCGGCTGACCTTCCCTAAGAGCCCCAAGTACCCCTGGTGGGGGGTGGGGTGGAGGAGAGGATGTTCCAAAGGGCAGGAACCCTGGCAGAAGGAAACCTTTTGTCCTGCCCCCTGGGATTCCTTGGCCAAGGGGGTCTGCAGCACAGGGCACCCTCTGCCAGCACAGGGCTTCAAAGGCGGTAAGCGTCCCCTTGAATTGTACCTGGATGCAAACCTGCAACCAACACAGCTGGGTGAAAGAGCAATGGAACCGAGGCCGCCTTAAGGGCCCAAGAACTATCTGCACCGCCAACATTTCACATTTATTTGGATGCTTAGTCTCTCTGTAACTTTTTAAAATCAAAAGTTTTAATCACCCTTTTGCTGTTTACTCCATTTTTTTCTTAAACTTGTAGCTAAAACTTACCTTCAGTTGAAGGAAGCTTAAGCCAACTTGTCTGTCCAAAGGCTCCTAATGGCTGAAAAGCAATTGACCGTTCTTTCTAGAAGTGATTATGAAAGGAAATATATGAACCCTTTGAAGGTGCCGTCCGTGGATTGAGCAAGAAGGCTCTTTCTTCTTTGGAGACCCTTCATCCTGCAGTCTCTTCACAAGGAGCAGCTGTCGGTAGCATTTGTGGGTGATCTCAACCCACACGCATGGGTGGTGGTCTACTTGTCCAGTGAGAGGTTCTCCTCACTGGCTCTTCATCCCTCCGTGCCCGTTGCTTTCCCTTTGCAGAGCTGTCTTCGGTAGGGCATTCCTTCTTCCTCTGGGAACCAAGCGAAGTATCTCAGGGCCTACAGACCTGAGAGATGCCTGGCCGAAGGTAGTTGACCACTCCCCTGGCAGTCTGCCTCTCTTAAGAGGTGCTCCAGTGGCGTGGCCTTCAGCAGGCCGTGCCCTCTGCTCCCTGGTGGCTCTGATGGCGGGCTGGATCTGGCCAAGGCCAGGAATAGAGGAGGCTTTTTGTCCAGCCAGCTGCCAGCCTCTCCCCAGATGTCTTTTCGGCATTTCTTTTTTCTTAAATCTTTTCTGTATTTGGTCTATTGATCTCCTGGCTCGATTCAATTATTTGTGGTGTCTCCTTTGCCATCCTGTTTTGGATCACCTGAGATGGACGATGTCATTGTGCTAACAAGTAAAAGTCCTAGTGGTTCCTCAGAGTAGCCAGTTATTCAGAGAGGAAAACTGAATCCAGAAAGATTTTGGCCTGAAGGTTTCCTGTGAGATGCGATGACTTCTTGGGTATCATGGGGCAAAGTTATTCAGTTCTAGGAACAGTTGGTCTATTAAATCCCTCCCCAGCCTTCTGCAAGGTCAGAATTCTGGAAATAAAGTTTCTCCGAAAAAAGCCTGCAAGTGAAATGGAAGCGAATTCATTTTTCACACAGGCACAGAGAGGAGAGTTATTTATATATGCTGCAATGCCTGTACTGGACTCTGCATGGATGGGTGATCCCTTCGTCTCGACCTCTCTTGATTTAGGAGCGTGGAGGTGGGTCATTCGTGAATTAATTTGGTAAACTGCTGCAGTCAAACCATTCTCAGTCGTGCATAATGATAATTAAAAACAGTGTCAATTGCAAAGATGAAAATAGACTGGGCAGCTGAGGGGGCTCTTGGCATCCAAGGCAGAGTCTCCTTTGGGCTGAAGGACAAAACGCTGGAGAGGATCAGGGAATCTTTATTTCATCAGATTTGTATGCTGCCTGTCTCACCTAGAAATGCACCTTCCTTCGTGCACCCATTTGTTCCTGTGTTTACCTAGTAGAGATGGGGGTGGGGAAGGGCTGCAGAGGGCCTTCCTTGGGGGCTACCCAGGGCCCTGATGTCACCAAATAGAGCCGGGGGCTGATTCTATCCAGACCTTGTTGGATAAGGGGAGCCTGGCCCACAATTGCACCATTGAAACTTGGCTGTTGGCCACGTAATACCTGCAGTTGGGGGAGGGGACCAATGCGTTGGCCATGGGCCTCGGGTGGTGGGACGTCCTGTGACTCTTGGGTCACGTGTCTCCTGCACCCGTGGCCACTCCGGAGCCCCTGTGAGGAGGGCCTCTCTACTTGGGGCTTTTTGGCAGAACTGGCGGAGGAGCTGGCGTCTCTTTCCTGGGCGTAGATGTGAATAGCTTCCTGGGCAAAGCTCTGGTTTTTTACTTTGCCAAAACGGTTGCATTAGCTAGGACCAAATCCTGATATTTTTCTCTGCTCAGCTTGTGTTGATTCTGCTAAGCTTTGCCAGATTCTGCCTTTTTGCTGTTTCCAGTTTCTGCCTCCTTTTCCCTTCCGCTCAGTGTTGTAAAAGCTCGTGGGGGAAGCAGGGCGAGGCGGACAATGGCAGTCTCCCATTGGTCGGCGTACGGAGTTTTGTGGTGTGACCGCAGAGGCAGCGAGGGAAGCTTTCCTGGTGGCCTCCCGTCCTTGTATTTCCAGTCCCACCCTTGGCATGACGCTTTTGGCTCATCAGGGGCTTATTGTAGCCCCCTGGGCACCCTGAAGGGGGTACGTGAAGGATTCCCAAAGAAAAACCACGTAGACTTTTGCTGGCGTGAATGTTTCTTGTCATGGGGGCCGTGCTGAGCCTCCGTCCCAATGAACGGAACAGCTTTTGGCTTGTGGAGCCCCCGGCTGGGGGGGGGTGTCTGCTGACCCTTGCCCATCTGGAGGTTGGCCAGGAGGAGCCCCGGAGCGGCCAGAGGGTCCTTGTGGGTCGCTTGCAGAGGGGAAAGTGCTCGGTGGGCCCAGAGGGATCCTACACAGGGCTTGAGGAAGTGGCGGACAGTGCAGGCATTTTGGAGAAGATCTGTTACGCCCACACTCTCAATCTGAATGCAACCTGCTCTTGGACGGAGTCGTGCATCCATTGTCGCATAAGAGAGGCAGAGGGAGAAGGACCTTGTTCATCTCAGAGGATCCCACTTCAAGACTCGATGCTGGGGAGAGTCTGAGAAGCCTCTGGGGAAGCCAGGGGGGGACCTGATGGCATCTCTTCTCTCTTGGCTTCCCTGGCTGCCCTTTGAGGGAGCCCAGCTCAGTTGGGGAGGGGGAGGAGTCCAGACCTGCTGGGGGTTTCCCAGAGGGGCCTGGGGGTCAAGGTGTCCTTCCCCTCTTGCTCCATCCAGTGGGAGATTGTGGTGGGAGGCTGGTGGGGTCTTTGGACTAAAGCCAGCCTGGCCCTGCAGGCCTCCAGACCAGGGCAGCCTCTGGGGGGGCTTGGGCCTTGGCCATTCGGACAGTCCCTTTTGGTCTGCTGGGAGGAGCCCAGGAGAGAGCAAGGAAGATGAATGCCCTGCTGGTCAAAAGGGAGGCGGGCTGTGTGTCCGTGTGTGTGTGTCCGTGTGTGTGCGTTGTTCCCGTGAAGAGGGGGGGCTGAGAGCCGTAGACCTGGGCCTGGTGTTTTTGTCATCCTGGTTCTCTGGGGTGGAGGGAGCCTCCTGCAGCTGAGCTGGGGCTGCCAGTTCCTGCTCTGGGCCGCCCTTTGGGTCAGCCCCAGGGCTGGGGGGCTCTCTGGGTCCCTGCCCGGCCTTTCCAAGCCTTCATGGCTTCATGGCTTTTGTGGGTCTCAGGGCGGAACCATCTAGCATTAGGACCCAGTGGGCTGGCAGTTCCTGTGACAAGAGTCTGGAGCAGCACTAGCGCAGAGAGTGTCTCCATCAGCTGGGCAGGATTGTGTGTCTGTGAGGCTCAGGGGCCTCTCCCACAAAAAGGCCTCTTCCGCCTCGGCCTCCCCCCCCGGGGACTTCACCCCCCCCCCCGCGCCCGGGGATGCTCCCTTCCCCTCTGCCCTGAGGGCAGCATCCTGCCAGATTATCCAACCCGGCTGTGAGCTGAGCCGGCCTTCCTGGAGGAAGATTGGCAGGGAAAAGCACCAGCATGGCCCAGGTCAAGCGACACCCCCATGGCCAGGTGAGTGACCACAAGGGGCCCAGGACCGGGCAGCCACGGGCTCCTGCTGTGTACCGGGTGGCTCTCCAGGCAGGAGAGGAGCTCCAGCAGTTGGGGGGTGAGGAGAGCGAGAGAGCAGGAGGAGGAGGAGGAGGAAGGTACCATGTTTTCTCTGCCCCCCGGCCTGGCTTTGTGTGTCCGGAGGAGGGAGGGAGGTGGGAAAAGCCTCTGCAGCTGGGACTTGCCACTGGCTTTCTTGGCACCTGGGGCCCCCACTTCACCCTCCCCACCCTTTGCCCCTTCTTGCTCTGCCCCTCCACTGAAACCGGGAGGGCCCTGGACGGCCCCTGAAAGCCCAGACTGCCCACCCACGGTCACCCGGGTGTCCCCTAAACGCCCAGGGGCCCCCTCCCCTTGGGGGCTTTGGCCATTTCCTTCCGATCCTTTTCTCCGTCCGAGGGGTGGCAATGTGGCAATGTGCTTTGGGAGCAGCACCCGCTTCCTTCTCTGGCGCAAAGCCTGGAGCCCCAAGCGGTTTGAAGAGGACCGACCTTCCCAGGCTCCCCAGCTGTGCCTCCCTTGCCCCTGCGACTCCTGCAGCCCCACGGCCTGAGTAATGGAGGCCAGGGGAAGCGCTCAGCCTCCCGGAGGTCTCCGTCCTCCTTTAGCCATTGTCCAGGCCTGGAGGCGGCCTGAATGCCTTAGCCTGGGGGCGGAGAGGGGTTTCTCAGGCGGGAGAGCCAGAGGTCTCTCCTTGGCAGCATCCCCAGAGAAGGTTGGGAAGCGGCCCCTGGCCAGTCCTGAGCTGCCACCTGCCAGTCCTTTGACTCGGGGTGAGGAGACCTTTGGGTGGTGCAGGTGCCTTTCCAGAACATCTGGGCAGCTGTGCTAGAGGGTGGGGGGCCGCTGGGGAAGGGCAGGGCGGTGCCTGTTGCTCGGTGGTTTTCCGTTTCTTTCAGGCGACAGGGAGATTGTGGGACTGGACACCGGAGGCTGAGCTGGCATCTGGATTTAGAAAGGTCCATAGAGATGGTAGCCGGTAGCTGCAGCTTCTTTGTTTGGGCCTCCCAAGGAGGAAGTGATGGGACTTTGTGGCTCAGCCAGGCTAACGCCACAGCCGAGACCTTCCCTTTATGGTGGTGGTTGCAGAATTGGTCTCCGTCCTTGGGGGCACCTGAGACTGGCTGGCTTGGCTTGCTTTCACGATTGACATCCCGCCTTTCTGATCCTTCAGCTTCTCCTCTGGGGGGAAAGGGGGCTGCAGGAAGCAGGGAGGATGGGAGGGGGGCCCTGCTGGGCTCAAGTCAAGGCTGGTGCCCACATGCCTGCTTGCCCCTCATTCCTACCCTTACGCCCACTTGGCTTTTGGCTCTCAGTCCTGTTACTCACAGCAGAGAATAAAAACCCTTGTTAGAGCAGCCCAGTCCTCCTCCTCCTCCTCCTCCTCCTCCTCCTCCCGTTACCTCCGGCTGAAAATGCCTGAGTGGAGATGAAGGGAGGGAGGGGGGTCTTGGCTCTGGAAGGGGGAGGATTTGGGGCTTGGGAGTGACTCAGGAGAAGGCCAGGAGGGGGGGGGGGGCTTTGATCTGAATGCCCAGACCAGGCAGGCCCTCTGGGGCTGAGGGGTTTGAAGTCGCCAGGAAAGGAGGGGGGGTGGTTACTCTGGGCTGGCAGAGTCCTTAAATCAGCCCCTCGTCCATGCAGAGCCCCTAAGGTCCCCCCCCCCCTCTTCTTCCTCTCCTCTCCTCGGCTGCCGTGTCAGCTCCTCCTCCAGACACTTTGGGGCTTTTGTCAATCCTCAGTTTGGATGCTGGAGGTTTTGGCTTCGATCCCTTTATCTGCTTTGAAGCCCCTTTGGTTCCTCTGCCTGGAAGCCGCCTTGCAGCAGGGACGCCGGCTCCCATCCAGTCATCTGTCTTTGGGGAAGCCCTGGTCTTCCCGGAGGGCTTCAGTGGGAGAGCGCAGGGGTCTCCTCGGAGGCCGGGCTCAGGGCTTTGGCCCGGGAGGCCCTCGTCTTCCCCAGCATGGCTGCAGTCGGAGGCTTTTCTGGCCTTGGGGTGTAGGAAGGGAAGGGATTTGTTAGGCTGGTCAAAGGCCCAGTTGGCGGGGGGCTTTCAGGCGAGGCAGGGGAGAGAGGAGCATTTCTGCTCCAGGGGAAGGAAGGAAAGGGGGCTCTGGGCAGGGGGCAGCCGGGGTTTCTCTCAGGCTTCCGCTGGGAGTTGAGCCTCAGGGTCTGCTTCGTTCACTTTGCCAGTTCCTAATTAGTGGAGCCTTCACTTTTGGGGATGTTTTTCTGGTGGGCTTTATTGAATGTTAATTTTGTAGAGAGATTGGGATGCTGTGAGCTTCGCCTTCTTTCAGCTGCCGGCTGGGCGGGTGTGGCTATTCTGGAAGGCGAGGTGGGGGCAGAGACACCTGGAGTGATGCTGGCAGGGAATGAGGGGGCCTGGCCGGATGTGGGTGTAAGCTCAGATTGAGGCCTGCAGTGGCCAAGCACTTCCTGAAGGTGGGGGAGGCCAGCCGCCCGGCCTCCTCCCTCCTGGAGCTCCTCCTGCTTCGAGATGGCCAGCCACCTGCTTTTGCCTGGTTCCATCCCTTCCGGGTGAACCAAAAGCTTCCGCAGAGGCCGTGGGCTCTTGGGACCGGCTGTTCTCTCCAGTCTGAACAAGGGAAGCCGTCCTGGGCATGACCACGCCTGGGGGACCTTTGTCCCGAAGCCCTCCGGGGGCCTCAGGGCAGGCGAAGCGGCGGCTGCTCTGGGCATCGGCCAATGACAGCTTCAAAAGGCCCAGAGGGTGCTGGGCCGCCCTTGAAGGCACCCAGAAACTTTAACTCTCCAGAATGTAACGGCACCCAGAGCCACCGACTTGGGTTCTGGGCCCCCTGCGCAACGCTGGACTGGCAACCCCTGCTTGATGAGCGGGTGGCAGTTGCGGCTGGGAGAGCCCTTGTGCAGCTTTGTCTTGTGCGCCAGTTGCTCCCTTTCCTGTGCTCCGTCCCTCCGGCCGTCTCCCGGTGGGGAGTATTGCAACGCACTCCACGTGGGGCCACCCTGGAAGAGTATCTGGAGGCTTCAGCTGCTACACAACCGAGCTGCAGGGCAGTTACACCCCCCGTTGCCAGTTTGTTTCCCGGTCCAATTCACGGTGTTGGTTGTCTCCTTGAAAGCCTTTCGTGGCATCGGTCCAGGAACCTTCTGACCCTGGCAGGAAGCGGCTGCCCCAACTACATGGACGACGGGCCCTGTCCGTCAGCATCTTGGAGGGGGCGGATGGGTTAGTCAGAGCCTACCTTCTACCTCCTCCCCATCACGGCCCCGTTTTGTGGGACGCCCGGGGTCCAGCCCTCCCCCGGTGCAACGGCTGCTCTTCCCCCCAGGCCCTGGGAGGGGCGTGGCTGGGCCCCGAGGGTTTGGCTGCTGTTGGACAGACGGGGGATGGCTGGTCAGGGACCACCAGGTGTTTGGTTTTTATTGCTGTTGCGCAGAGTTGTGTTTTATCCGATGAGCGGCCATATAAGACTGTTAACTACATAAATGAATAATGAAATCAATAAGAGCAGAATACAGATAATAACCTTAACCGTCAATCAACTGGCACCCATTCTGTCCTGCCAAGCTGCCCATATGCCAAAAGGCTCCCCTGAGGTCTTTCCCTCCCTCCCTCCCTCCCTCCCTGATCTGGCTGGTTCCCTTTGGGGCCGTTGGGATTGAGAGGCCTTGGAGGCAGGAGGGGCAGGCGTCGACCGCCAGGCGCAGGCAGAGCCTCCGGAAGGCTGGGGGGCTCTCAAAGAAGGGCAGCGTCTGTGGGGCCTAGGAGAAGGCTTCTCCCGAGGGCCAGGCAGGGCCAGGCATCCTTGGGGGCTCTTGATCCCAGACAGGGGTCTTCCTCCCTTTTCCGTGACACCCTCAGGAACGTAGCCGAGGGAACCGATTGGGGGGAGCTTCTCTGGGCCACCCGTTTCCCCATCTCTGATTGCGGGGAGGCGTTTGTGGTGCTGGGAAGCCGTTCTGCCTCTTCGCTGGGCAACGGAGGCTCCTCACAGGGTTGGGTGCCCAGGCTCCCCCTGGGTGGGGCAGGACTGATGCCGGGGCCGCTCCTGGCCCAGACCAGGCTGGGTTCTCAAGCTTACATGGGAGTTTGCCCAGAGAGGCTCCCTGGGCTCTGGAGTCAGGCCGGCTGGCCCCCTTCCTGGAGCACTTTGGGGGCCCCCAGCCCTTTGAAGTAGAGGCGGTGCAGATCCAGGCGGTCTGGAGGCCTTTCCTGCGGAGGCCCCCCGTCAGGGCCCAAGAGGGCAGGGCCAGCGTCAGTGGCTGAGGAGTCGCTCTGGGAGAGGTCCCGAGGAGGCCCCAGAAGGAGGCTCAGAGCTTTCACCCGAGTGGGCGGTGGTTGGGCTTCCGGCTTCCCCCAGGACTCAAGCTGGCTCTTGGCCTCCATGTGGCTGGAAGGCCTTCACTGCTGGGCATCTCGGTTAGCGGTTGTTGGGCTGGGAGGCCCCACGCCAGCATGGCAGTTCTCCGGTGACTTGGGGCCAGTTACTGACCTTCAGCCCACCCTACTCCGCAGGATCGTTGTTGGGAGCAAATGAGGAGAGAGAGCCATATGGGAAGGCTGGTCTGGAAATCCACGAGCAACAAAGGCACAAATGGCCACCCTTTTCCTTCTTCTGCTGCCCCTTCTAGGTCTCCAGCGCCAGTGCCAGGATGAGCGCGGAAGTGGGCGGCAAGCCCCTGAAAGTGGGCTCCCGAGTGGAAGTGATAGGCAAGGGGCACCGTGGGACGGTGGCGTACGTGGGGGCCACCCTCTTTGCCACAGGGAAATGGGTCGGCGTCATCCTGGACGAAGCCAAAGGCAAAAATGACGGGACGGTGCAGGGCAGGCGGTACTTCACGTGCGAGGAGAACCACGGCATCTTCGTGCGACAGTCACAGGTGAGCCTCTGCTGGTGGGGCCCCAACTGCTCCCTCCCTCCCTCAACAGCAGCTCCCCCCCCCCGGAAGGAAAAGGGAGGGAGTAAAGGGGGGGGGGAAACCCCTTTGGGTCTTGGCTTGCTTTAAGGGGCCTGAGGAAACCACGGGGAGGAGGGGCAGAATTCAAGGCCTTCCTTTAACCACTCCTGCCGCTCTCTTCCCTGGCTCTTGGCACAAGAAGAGCCTGATGATTATCTACCTACCTACCTACCCACCCACCTGCCTAAATTTTGACATCTACGCAGGCATGATATCATGCTTGTTGGAACTCTCAGAAGGATTTTGGATTTTGATTTTTATGCTGCTTTTCAATCCAGATGCCTTTAAGCTTGGCCTAGTTGGTTCAGCTGGCTAGTCCTACCTGAGGCCTGAAGGCCGGCTGGGAGACTTGGGGCCAGCCCTCCTTGCTCAGTTCAGCCATGGGGCTGTTGTCATGGGGAATGGAGCAGGAGGAAGGAGTGTTAGCTTTGTTTGCCACCTTGAGTTGTTTCTCAAAAAATAGTAAAGGCAGGTTATAAATGGATAAATAAAGGTGAATATCAATTGAAAATAAAGGTGCTGGTCATAGGACAATACATAACATTATATTTAATTCCTTCCTTGGCTGCTGCATTCCTAGACGTAATGCTGGCTTAGGGGTCTGTGGCTTCTCTTTGGTGTCCCTCCTTTGCTCCTGATGCCTTTCGGTCCCAAGCTCCAAGCGGCCTCCGGTCCATGGTTCAGGGCCCCAGGACTTCCCTGCACTTTGTCCAGAAGGCTGTGGCTCCCGGAGACCTCCCTCTCTCCTGGCTGAGCCTCTGTGCCCAGGCAGACCAGAGCAGTTTCCTCCAGCTGTTCTCCTGCTGGAGCTCCTCCCCAGCTTCACCCAACACTCTGGCTGGGCCGCATTCCTCAAGAGATGCCAGCTTTGGAAGGGGCAGCCGGGGTGGTGCGAATCCCGGAGTCTGGAGTGGAGAAGGGGTTGCTTGGAATCCTCAAGGGGCCCTCTGTGAATCATACAGCCCTCCTCCCGTGGGTCTCCGACGGCCTTGCTTTCCCCTGCGTCTCCCCTGGGGGTCCGAGGACTCGTGGCATGAAATGCGTGGAGGGTGGGCTGTCGGCTCTAAAAGGCTCCGAATGAGGCGATGCGCAGGAGTTCACAGGGCTGCTGAAGGAACCGCACTCAGTCCCAGGTTAGCAACCAGCAGCTCTTAGGCAAAGACTGGCTCCCACAGTGCCGATCTCCTCATCGGCTGCAGAACACGTGGTTGATGGGGGAAGCCCAGCATTTCCCACTTGGGCCTTCAGGATCCCTTGGGGATCTGCCAGGGCCCCTGAGTGGCCCCTTCCTGGAGCTCAAGTAGGACATGAAACCCCTTTGGAACTCTGGGTCGGTAAAGGACGGAGGGCAGAACCCTGACCGTGCGGGTGGACGCAGCGCTGTGCAGGGGAAGCCTTTTTTCTGCTGCGTTGAGGCCGGGAGAAGCCGGAAGGAAGGAGACGGAAGAGGAGCCGTTTTGGTCACCGCCTTTCCTTTCCCTTTAGATCCAGGTGTTTGAGGATGGCGCAGACACCACCTCCCCAGAAACCCCGGAGGCTTCGGCATCGAGGGTCCCCAAGAGAGGTAGGCTCTTCGGCTTTTTCGGCATCAACTGGGGGCCTCCCCTGCCTGTTTACATTGCCCATTTACGACGGAAAATGTCCCCACTGCCCTAGCAGGTTGATCTCTTCCTTTGAGAACCTTGGGTGGCTGCCCCTCCTGTATGCCAGGATTCTGAGTCTCGAAGCAATTTACCTAGGAATAAAAGAGGTGGCCAGCACAGATTCAAAGAGCAGAACCCCCATGAAATGGGGCCAGAGCCCTTCCGAGAAGGTGGCCCCTTGCCCCTCTCTGGGCAGCGGTGTCTTGCCTTCCAAGAGGAGCCACGGAGGAGAGCCCACAAAGGTTCTGGCCACGAGGGCTGCCCTTCAGGGAAGGTGACTTGTGGGGGCATTCCAGAAGCCCCCAGAGGCTCACGCATCCTGGCTCATGGGGGAGCTTGCTGCCCTTGCTACCCAGGGCTGGTGGAGCCGGGATCCCCCAGGGCCACCCGTGGGGCCAAGGAAAGGATCGTGGGAGGGGCCCACTTCCGGCCTGAGAAAGCAGGTGACTTTCAGGCGTGGAGCGGAAGGTGAGGTGGCCATTAAGGAGGGTGACTAGAGAGGAGCCAGCATGCCAGAAAGGAGGCGGCAGGGAAGCGGCCTCCAAGCAGCCTTTGGTTTAGCAGGAGCTCCGGCCTCCCTGACGATCGCTCTCTGCTGGAAGGTTTCACTGGAAACTGCCACAGACAACGCAGCTCCCGCAGGCTCTGCCAGGGCTCTGCTGGCCTCCTCTCCTCCGGCCGGCTGGGGCTTCCCCAGCTGTCATTAGCGGAGGGTGGGCTGCAGGGGTCCCCGAGAGCTGCACAGGGGCTCCAACTGCCAGAGAAGGAGAGCTGGATCCCAGGGCTTGGATGGATCACTGCGGGTGCCCAAGCGCTCAGAGGAAGAACCCCCTGCCCACCTCCCAGCCGGCCCCCAACGTGGAGCCTGGAGTGCAGGGAGCAGAGCTTCCCTTGCTCTCTTCCTTGCTGGGCCCTTTGTTAGGTAAGCTCCCCGTTGGGAGAGCGAGTGCGTTCAGAGAAGCGTTGCATACAGAGACACTGCAGTTTCAATAGGCTTTCGCTTTCGTGGAAATAGAGGTATCAGAGTCCATCAAACAGTCCAAGTCATACACGGATAA